GCTGTCTTTGCGCGCTTGCCAGCTCCGATGCAATCCCTACGCAAACCCTTCCTGAAGGCCAGTAGCTCTGCTTGCCTCCTTTCTTCGGCCAGGAGCCAAATGCCACTATTTGATTAAAAGTATCAAGGAAGACCTCCTATGGGGCTGGTTACTGAAACCCAGAAATATCACATAGTGAAACAGAGAGGGCTAGCAGCTACTAGATCAGCAGCACATATCTGCTAATGCTGCACATTTCTCTGCATCAGGCATCATTGACATTTTATCCTCTGGTTTGTAATAACTCTTTCAGCGCCACAGGCCTGCCAATTTTTCTTTAACACCTCCCCTCAAAAAATCAGGTGCAAAAGCAGAGGTCAATATGTTAGAGCCAGTGATCCCTTTCCAGAGCCTGTGGCATTGCTCACCTGTAAAGTGTAGCAATCTGCCACTTCCAGTGACATTCCAGTTGGGTTACATCCCAAGTGTCTCACCATGAAGGGGTTAACACTGTAGCAGCCTTTCTTGGTGGATCAAATTCTTGCAAGGCTCTCCTTGCTTTGTTCTTTAGTGGGATGAATTCAGCAAGAGCAGTCTTAACACTGGGATCTGTTGTCCTCCTTCAACTAGCACCCTTGTTCTTCTCCCTGACTTCAAGGCGGGCTCCCTGTTTGCATATCAGAATAATCTCACCCTTTCACATTGTCCCAGCAGCAGCTTCACACCAGTAGACTCTGCCCCTGCGGGGCCCCGGGTCAGGGACAGCAGCAGCCACCACCACTTCTGTGCTGTCAGGCAGGACAGAAGGAATGTGCCTGGCCTTGTCACAGGGGAGGGAAGCCTGCACTCCGCAAGAAATTTGAACAGATGTCACTAAGCTGGCTCAGAAATCACTCTTCAGTTGCTAGCTATCACCCAAGCAGTCCATCCAAGCATCCAGTGCTCATCCCAAATTGCTTGCATACCAGCAGCTTTGCCTTTTGTGATCTGTACACACTATTGGCATCTTTATTTAAAACCTCATTCAAATATTATGTGAAAATGCTTTAGATCATTCTCTGGCACTGGGTAGTGGGAAAGCCTGCAGATGTGCCACCGAGCCCTGCCAGCCCCAGGGCTGGATGGATGGTCACATCCAGGTCTCACCAAGACTGTGCTCTCTGTCACCCACTCTGGCTTCTTGATATTTCTTTGCTATTAATACCACAACAAGAAAGTCCTGTGTTCGCAGCAGTCAAAAGTTTTCTAACTTTTATCACTCAGAACAAATTACCTTCAGTTGGAAATCTTCCTGTCTTATGGCATGTCCTTACAAATATAGGAATTAATGATATCCTCCTGTCCCTGGAAATGTTCAAGGCCAGATTGGATGGGGTTTTGAGTAAACTGGTCTAGTGTAAGGTGTCCCTCCTCATGGCAGGGGGTTGGAACTAAATGATCTTTAAGGTCCATTCCAACTCAAACTCTTCCACGCTTCTGTGATATCTTTGTACCTGTACCAGACATAAGATGCTCTCTGTGGAGCAGCTATTAGTAAGCTGAGCCATAGCTGGGAGTGAAAGATGCCTGGGATATACCCCAAGACTTCAGAGGTGTCAGCACATGCTGGAGTCCTGGAGGGGCTCCTCAGCTACCCAGCCCTGCACTGCCATATGGTCACCAAAAGAGCATGGAGGTTAATGCTCACAACAGAAAATACTTTCAAAACATACAATACATTCAAGTAGCCATCTAGCCAAATATCTGAGAAGTTGCAACAGAGGTTGTTTAAGGACTTTAAAGCACATGGAAGTTTACAGATTTGAGGACTTTTTTGGGACCCTACTTTGAGAAAACAGACTTTACCAGTCAATTTTCCCATATATGTCTCCCTGAGTAACAAAATGTGCATCAGCCTCCTGGATAAGAGACACTGAGAATGCCTACAATGGCCCACACTCTCCCAGGTAAGCTACGTGGGTTGTCCTCAGAGAAACAGAAGGCGGCAGGTGCACCACCATAATCTCACAGAACTGTGCCAATACTGCAGAGCTGCAACAGGAGAGAGGACAGTCCCCCTCCCCCCTTCCATTGCCTGCTGCTCACCTGCACTACATCAGGAGGGCAGGTCTGTGTCCTCTTTTGGGCCTGCTCAGTCATCAAGAACCTGTTCAAACTCCCTGATATCAAACCACATACTGTTTTGAATTGCTGGCTTTGCTCTCTGTCAGGCAGGGGACAAATGTGGAGACTGGTAGCACTATGCCTCTGTACTGAACCAGGCCCTGAAGATAACATTTTGGAGACCTTGAGGCATTGGTTTGAAAGTCAGACATCCAAACGTATTCTAGCAGCAAAACCTGTTTGAAAGAAAATGGGGCAATTGTGTCATCATCATTCCTTTTCAGTGTCCAGTCTCATTTCCTTTTGCATCCTTCCTATTAGCATTCATTCACTGTGACCATTCCTGTGAGTTTTTAGTAAAAAACAACTTGCAGATTAGTCAGTTTTAAGCAAATATTTGAGTGCTCTAACTTGATATGTATTCTGAACTAAAATTAAAAGTGTTTGTCCGCATAAGCCTGACAGAAGTTCATAGTGACAAAGAGTCTGTGACCAGTCAGACCCTATCCTCTTTACCAGCAACTAATGGCTTATGTAGAAGCTGAGGGTTACAAGGAACCAGCTGCAGAATTATCTAACAAATAATTCGTGGGCTTGAGCAAGTATAATGACACTCATTTCATCTGCGTTTAAATTCAAGCCTGAATCAAGCTAAAGCATTGCAACTGGGTACAAGCAGAAAAAAACAATTTCTCTTTAACAGGAAATTCCGGGGTTTCAGACAAAAACCTAAACATTTTCACAACCTTCAGGCAAAAGACACGGTGTTGTAAGATTGGCTCCTTAAATCACTGTCTTTACCACTCGAAGGTGCATTTTTCAACAAAAACTCTTTTAAGGGAGTAAAAAGAAGGAGCTCTTATGGTCCAGCAAATTCAGAATCTTTCTTTAGAGTGCCAGAATGATCTAGACACAATAATGTAAATATCTATTTTTTCATAGCTTCCTGTAATAAGCAACCCAAGGCTTCCTTCAGCCCCGTTAGCTGAATATACCTTGTAGTCTCAGGGATGATCAATTCTGCCCCCCAGAAGTATGAGGCAGAAGCTTGAAGGGGTCAGGCACCACACCAAACTTTTGTTTTGTTTGCATTAGGGCTTTGTCTCTATTGGCTCCGCAGTATTTTTATTTCCTCTTTCATCAATTGGTCCTGATGAATTTAAGATTCGCTATCATACAAACTACAGTTTTAGAACAAATCACCCTTTCATTTAGTTAATACCAGCAGCATAGCTATAAAGCTGTAATAGTTTACAGCTTCCAGGACATAACCTGCAACCACAGACAATACAAATTATATTACACTGTGTTTTATTGCTCTTTGAGGCCCACTAAGAGGCTCAGTGCTGTTTCATAGTCCAGAGTAGCAGCAGCTCTTTATTCTTTTTAACACATACCTGAAAAATACTTTAATTCTGTTTCAAAATGGTGTGTTTATTTTTTTGTGAGTCTGTCCTCAAAACTGCTTGTAGTTCACTTACTGTAGGATGCAAACAGTACTCTCTGTGCAATTAAAGGAGAGTATGCACGCACAGGGAGAAATGTCGTCTTCCACACGCACTATCTGCACAAAGAGCGTCTCCATTTTGAAAAAGAAACAAGACCCCACACTTCGATAGTAATTTGCAAGGATATGACATCTGAGAAGGCAAAAACCTCAGAAATCACAATTCCTTCCTAAAATGCCCTTTGATTTTTCAGGTTGTGTGTTCAAATGCTTGAGGAATCATAAAGGCTGCTGGCGCAGTTTCTTAGCCCTGCCCCTTCCTCTCTAGGCCTGAGGCTGGGCACGGAGGGGAGCAGAAAGGAATCGCCATGTTTTCTTTAAATGGAGGCTCTAAAAAAAAATGAAGGCAATAGGGCTTCAGGAATTGCAAAGGGCCAGAGGGAGTGGGTGAGCACAAGCTAGCCCTGCCTTTTAAAACATGAAGAGACCATGTACTTGTTCCTACTGCACCTGCTGTCCGTGCAGTGCTGTGTTATGGCTGAGGCCAGCAGTCCGATCTGCATATCAAATAGCTGATTTGTAGATGAGGTCATTCATTTTGTGGTCGTATGTTTGCTGTGGTGGGGATGGGCTGTTGCCTAGCAGTGGGCCACAAAGTCCCAGCAGGTTTCTTGAGTCAGCAGCCATCCTTTGCTCCCCTCACCACTCTCCTGCCCTCATTGACAATTCAAACCCAGTTTTGACCTTAATAAATAAAACTCCAAAAGGTTTGACTAGTTCCTAAGTTCAAAGCGTGGGTGACGTGCTGTGAATTGACAGCTTCCTTTGATGCTGCATTGGTTTGGTGACTCGATAAGAAAAATACATATCCAGAAACCTTGGTACCATGTGAATGGAGGGATGGCAGATAGTGTCTGGCTGCAAAAACACCCTCCGAGAGGCTGGGGCTGCCTTGGTGCCTGGGTACACTGCTCCACTGTTAAAACATGGAAGAGGGGATTAAAAGATCAGCACCACATTTATTTAAGCATTTAAACACGTCAGAAGTGGTTTTGTAAAATTTAAGCTAGTTTTCATGTATGACTGCTAGGGAATCAATTATGCCTTTCCTGTTAATTTTGACAGCCACTTCGCATTGGGCAACACTCATTCAAAACGCTTTTTAAGAAGTATTTTCTTCTTTCAAAAGCAGCTAAAGCTACTTACTTGTAGCGTACAGCACATCAAGCTGGTGGAAAGAGAAAAAGAAATCAGTCACCGTTTCAAATTAAAAAGAGAAAAAAAAGCAGGGCAAAGAAGATGAAAACACTGGAGTACAAAGCTGCCTCTAGGAACTACAATACATATATGTTGTCACCATTTGGTGTCTGATAAGTTGGCAGAAACTGCAGTTTAAGTGCTTTTATTTTAGGAGTGATCTGCTGACAAAAGACACATGTGCAAACCATGCCATTTAGATGAAGGAGTCATATTCACTTTTTGCAAAGTACAATTTATTTATTTTTTCCAGATTATAATGTTTTCTAGGAAGAAAGGAGTACAAAGACCTCTCAGCCCTAAAACAAAACCAAACATCTCAGCACAAATTGGAGCCCTGATAGCTCAAAGCAAAAGCCTCACAAACATCTATTAGAAGCAGGAAATGTCTAATGGAAAACTTACAAACATCTGATACATGAAAGGGAAGGCACAAAACAGGAAAGCAGAGGCATGAGTAGCTAATTGCTGTAGATTCCTCACAACATTCGCTGAAACACAGCAAGACACATCAGTCAGCTCCACAGCACTGGGGTATACAACAGCCATTAAAGTATTAGTAAGAATACTTGGAAAATGAGCACTTAAAAAAATGCTAATTCTTTGGACAGAATGAAGCTGCTTATGCTTGTGACTGAATTTACAAGGATGCTTTGAGGGTGACCAGAGGCATCCTGGTATAATTCTTCTCATCTAATTCCAGTTATAAAAGCCTGCAAAAAGAATAATTTTTTAAAGTATGATTATTATTCACACTGAAATCTAGGTGTAAAAGCAAGATGTATATCTTCCCAGCTACTGCATACATATCCAAACTTGTAGATGAAACTTGCACTTGGTTTTGATAACCTCTGGTCTAAGAAAAATGTGAAGTTTTAAGCAACAGCAATGCATTATGCTGGAGCATGGACATGCAGCAAACACAGAGCACCTATTCTTGCCCCTTGTAAATGCCTGCTGCTTGTCTGGTTTGAATAAAGTTATGCCTACTACTGTCAGAACTGAATTTGGCTCATGGTCCTCATGCAAATTGCCGCTTGCCTGAATGTGTGCACCATATTAAGAATGCAAATATGTTTGGACTAGATGATTGTTCCTTTATTTGCTGTACACCCTAATTCACAAGGAGTTGAATAAGGATAGTTTTGGTGTGTGCAAGAAGGCAGGCTCAGACAAAAATACATTAAACTGTTTGCAAATAAGTTAATTATGTCAATAGATCTGATCTTAAGTCACCCTTTCTGATGTTATGTATATGGTTTCTTGAACATAGCCAACAGAGAGAGAAAAAAAACACGTTAAAAAAAAATAATTGTCATTCTTCAGGACATGAAATGAAGTACCTTTTTCACATGTACTACAAACAAGCTTATGTCCAGGGTCCCCATCTCCAATGCTTTGAGTTCTGAAGGCCAGAATGTATCATTTTATCTTTGTCTGAATTTCAACTCACAGACATTCTGTGAAGTTAATCGCTTGTATTTGTCTATTGGAAAGGCATCCAGTGCTGAGCTGAAGACATCTGGCAATCTAAAAAACAATCCCTCATTTATAATTTGTTCAAATGAATGATAACCATACCCATTAAAAATGTATATCGTATTTCTCATTTGAATTTCTGTGATATACTTTTTCATTCCTTCTCACTTCCAGCTGTTATTCTGGAACTCCGCCAACCTTCTGTGAGGCACTTAGGGAAAAAAAAATAAAAACACAAAACCAACTAAAAATTAACATTTGTGAAAAGAGAAATTTTTTAAAAAAAACCAACAAAGTAGCATTTTCTAGATTTCAGAAATAAAACCTAGCTTCAACTACAAAGTTAATTCAGCAAAAATACAAATTTTTATTTTGCTTACAATTTTTCTTGCTCACGTTTTAAAGAATATTTTAAATTATTTTGAAGGAAAAACCCTATACTTTATTTCATAATGAAAGGGGGAAAAAAAACCCACCAACAAATACAACAGAACAAACCAAACCCAAGGAAGAAACCAAAATTATTTTAGCCATATTTTCAGAGCATGCTATTCTTTCCTGTGGGAAAATTCACACATTCCTTACACTGAGATATTAAGTTTGAACTTTCAGTCATTTAATTAGTTCTCAATTCAACAAAGCATTTAAGCATGTTTTCAAAGCACAAAGCACTTAAGCACATTCTTATTCTGTCCCTGAATAGGAGCAGAGTGCTGAATCACACTGGGAGCTCTGAGAGCGGATCCCAGGGCAGCCTGGCAGGGCCACAGAGCTGCAGGGCTCTTGCTGGTTTGATTCCCCAAGAAGGGGTATGGTAGTGATTACATCATGCCCAGAATTAAAGCCAGGCCTAGTTTGAAAATGCAAAACTTTTTGCAATCCTATATAATGTCACAAATTTATAATAGAAAATTGAAAACACACATATGCCATATGAAAAAAAAAGACAAAAGAATCTGTTGGGGATTTATATTTGCCCATTTTTCACAAGTATAAAATAAATATATTAAACAATAACCCGATAAAACCTTACGTTATAACTGTGCAACTAGACTTTCACTGTGTTTTGGATATATGGGATATGAAAATGTAGGTGAATTCAACTGCATACACAACCAGACAGAAAAACACACAATTTAGGTTTCCAAAATCTTCAACTGCAAGGTACCTGAGGGATACATACCCAGACAAATACACACACACACACACACACACACTCACACACATACAGAGCTCAGGTGAATCGCAACAATGCCTTGGAGAATCAAGAAAAAAGATGATGCTATGTATCAAACAGATATTGCAAACATATTTTCAGTTAAATTAACAATAGTATTACCTTACCAGTAATATTTTCTATCTTTTACATTTAATTTTATACCAAGAAGTCTATTATTTGAAACTATGTTTTCCGTTTTTACTTCATCACTAGGTGTTCAGAAATATTTTAAACTTTACATTGTATGCTAAAATAGTAATATTGGCATTTCTGATTATTTCATACGATATTTGTGTCTAAAATAAGTCTGTCTGAAATTTAAACACTCTGCTTTTTGCTTCCAAGACTCCCTCTGATATCAATGAGGAATGTAGGCTTGACCCATTGCTGAGTAGCCTTTTGAACAAACACCTTTAACAATGCTAGAGGTAGCAGTCAGTTCTCTATAGAGATAAGCACTTAACAATTCAAGAAAGCAAAGAATTAATGGGATTCCTAAGAATTTTGGACCTGTGTCCCTGCCACAATGGCGCGTTGGTTTACGCTGCTGCATATGGCTGTAACCCCAGAATGACAAAATATTCAACTGGGATGCTTAGTTTTGTATTCACTTTCTGAGTGGCAATTCTTTAATTGTGTTTCTTTGTATTGTTTCTGTGTAAAGCTTTAAGGATTGTAAATCTTACTTACTTTCTACATCTTATTTCCCGTTTTCAAGAGTCAAATTCTGAAAAAAATAGATTACACCCACCACATCAGGTAATATTCAGACTGAGCAAAAATATCAGGAATCAGATAAATATTACTTTATATTTTCTAAACAAAATTTTCTACAGTGACGTTAAAAATATATCTAAAGAAACACTGTTTGCAACTCAAAAAGGGATTTATAATGCAACCCAACTGAAAAAGTCTATTTACCCAAACTGAAATTCTGTTTCATTTTAACAAAATCGTAAAACATTTTTTTTAATAAAAATGTTTTAAAAGATTGAGAAATTCTACTGCCCAATGCCTTTAAAAAGGAAAAAAATGAATCCCTGTACGTTTCATCTATGTAGGGCTGCTAAAGTCTGAGGAAGGGGGAATTGTGCTTACGCAGAGGAGGACGCCCATCATGCATTCGCCAGCAGGGAGATGTCAGCCATTTTTCTGCACACTCTCCCCAAACGCAGGCTGGAGCTGCCCTCGCTCCACCATGTCAGCCCATCTGCTTCTCTCCTCACCCTGAGAGCGCTTCCACTCACGCAAACATCCTCTGGCTCACTACAGGCATATCAAAAAATGTTTTCTTTAGAAGAGAGGTAAATGAGGAATAGGAAAAAAAAAGATCATATTTTCCAAAGAGGACAAAGAAATGCGAAGCTCATCCTGCCTGCCTTGCTTGAGAGAGCTGCTCTGCATTCAGGGGTTAGCCCGGGTGGAGAATGATGCTGTTGTCTCACAAAGGACTCATGTTGAGCTGAATCTTTGATTACAGGACAAGTGCCTGCATTAGGCCCCTCATTGCGCTCACATTCTGCTCCTGCCATTTGTACAAAATTTCTGAGTGATCTCTTTGTGAATACAGACCTCAACTGAATCAAAGATGAGCTTCGTCCTTGTTGTGTGTGTGTCCCCCCCTTATTTTTCTGTGAGCACTCCTTTTCTGTTTCCCTGCTCCTCCTCTCCCTGATCCCCTTCTCCCTGTCTCCTTTTAGACCCTTTGCCTGGTTAGAAAAAGGAATGCTATGGATCTAAAATAAAATCTAATGAATGGCAAATCTTGAAAATAGAGGTAGAGGTGCCTTGTGGAATCTTTTAAATTTCCCCCTCAAATTCAGTCATGATCCCTGCAAAAATTATGCATAACCTCTTGGTCTTCTTAATAGGATTTATGCTTGTTGTTGCTCTGCACACCCTGCCATGCCAGAGAGGACTCCAGAGCTGCTGCTGTAACCATGGCCACTCCTCATTCACCACTCTTGGCAAATTTCTCCTGGTGTAAAAGGCAGTGGGAAGGAGAGATGCACCAGCAGATGCACGAACACGATAACCCTGTGTCTCTCTCAGCAAACCACCATGTGCCTAAAACCCACTGAATTTGTAAGCATTATCTGAGAACATTCTTTCAGCAAAATCACCTCAACATCTGCAACACAGAAAACAAAGCAAATATATAATCAACCTAGTTTAAAATCCTGCTTCAGTCAAATGTCACGGGGGCTTCATGCAGGCTCCGGAAGCTGGATTTTTTATGCATCTGCCCAAATTGAAAAGGTTATTTCACTGTCTTCAGGATGACTCTTGAGCTGAAGGCAGAGCTGAGGGTTGCTGTCCTGAAAGAAGGGAAGTTGCTAGGAGATAAGTCCAAGATTTCAGACAGCATTGGTTGGAGTTATCTCTAATTGACAGCTGCTTACCCTAAGGGTCTAATTCTAACCTTGAGACCAAAACCATAATGAGAGGGCAGCTTTCCTTCACCCCTGTTTTCTAGCCAGGGCAAGGAGATTACTGCAGGTCTGTTCTTCTCTGGTTTTTGTTATGCTTCTTTTCGTGGGGCAGCCCTGTGAGGCTCAGAGCCTGCTGTGCTTTCTGAGGCTATAGTTTGCATCAGTGAGCCCTGTCTGATTCATACCACCTGAATAAACTTGCTCTTACAGCTAAGATGGTCTCACTTTTTCTTTTTTTTTTTATTAAAGGGGGAAGGGTGAAAAGAAATTCTCTTACACATAAAATGATTTAAAGACTTATTTTTTTAAGCAGATACATTAGTGTGCAGCCTATGGTTAACCCTTTTTTAGGGGGACTTAGACTGTCATTGGTAGTTTTAAATCAAGTCCATGCTGTTGGCAAGTTGCTGTTATTTAGGACTGAAAATAAAAAAAAAAGAGAAACATTCAGAGAAAAGAGATTAACAGAGGCAGGAAAATAAGCTGGGGTAGGTTCTCGGGGGGGGTTGTTTTGGTTTGGTTTTTGTTGTTGTTTTGTGGTTTTTTATTTTTTTATATTTTTGGGGGAGTTTGGTTGATTGGTTGGTTTTTTAACTGACTAGGCTTGTTGGGATATTAATTTATGAAAAAAAAATCTCGGAGAACGTCAACTTGTATTTTAATAATAATTTTTTCTATAGACAGTGGAACAGTATACAAGAAGCCTAAGTCTAATTTTCTTCTTAGATGTACTAATAAAAATCTGGTCTTCTTCCTCTGAATTCACTGGAACTACTCTGGACTTATACTAGGTGACTGAAAATATAGTTTGAATAAATATTTCCAAGGGGACAATTAAGAATAGGGAATGCAGTCACATTTAATAACCCATGGCAAAAGAAAAACAAGAAAAGAAAATAAGAAAGGAAATAAATCCCAATAATAATTTTTTTCTAGAAAATAATCCCATGAATTCTTGAATCTCAGTCACTTTCCTGCTCAACAAAAAAAAATTGTTCTGCAGATTTTTTCAAGTAGGTAAGATCAAGTAAAAATTTGTATCTTTCAGGGAGAATGCAAACAGGAACCAGTTCATAAATGCAATATCACTATTGTAGGAAATTTCTCTGATAGACACTGTGGGGCTAAGTGCTCCATGGCTTAAACCATTTCCCATCCCTCTGCATAAGGGCAGGTAAGCAAGTGGGGAGCAGAAGCAAACTGCAACTCCACAATTACAGGGAGATAGGATAGTCCCAGCCCCTTCATCCTGAGCCTCAAAAGCATGCCAATTTTTTATAGTATTTTGGGTATATAAATACTTACCCTTGAGAAATGTGTTGAGGCTACCAACTTGCTTCGCAAAGACTGACTTGCTAGCCCTGATGTTTTCAAAGTTAGCAGTGTGGTCATTTGGATTTCATTACGGTATTCTTGGTCTGGAAGCATAGTCCACTGGGCAAATTAATTTCTGAAGGAATAGCTGAATGCCTGCCTGCCTACCAGTCAAAATGGATAATGAGTGTATTGCCCATGCGTCAGAGGGGAGTCAGCAAGGCAGGCTGGACAGTGATAAAACAGCATAGAGAGAAGCTCAGACCTTGGCATCACTCTCACTCATCTCTGCTCTTGAGGGAGTGTATAAAAAAAGACAACATCCAAGGCCCTTAGAAAAATAACCATTAATGAGTCCCATAGAATGAACTCATAGAAAGTGTTCTGTGGAGGCTGGAGTAATTTGAACGAGCAGACAACCAACCCAGCAGTGCATACAGGCATAGCCATAACTGCTGGAAAACAGTGAGTCTCATCTTAATCTTCATTTTTTCCTGTTTATTAGGTATATTTTCCTACTATACTGAGTCCTCTTATGTACTGCCTGTGACTGCTGCCTCTGGAAGTCAGAGACTTTCAAATCGCTTAAATGGAATTTGTATATCCTTAAGGCTTCAAGTAAAACTAAAAATATGGTTTGGTGGCATATTTATAATAATGTCTATTTCAACAGTAATTTAACTTATCATTTATTAAGTTGTATGTATTTGAAAGCTAATATTTGTACTGCGTCTGATGTGCAATTCAAATTTGTGCAGCAATTGCTGCAAGAATATTCACAAGAGTTGTTTCCTTGCTCCGCAAAACAACTATCTTTTCTTATCACTATCTTGGTAAAGTGACCTAAAATATTTTTTCTCCATCTGAAACACCAAGAGTAATGAAAATCAACTCCTCCCATGATAAACTGTGATCTTCACAGTAGAAAGCAAAAAAAGAAGCTGCACAGAAAAAGAAACATGATCTTCGTACCTTCCAGAACCGCAATATAAAATTAGGAGGACTATCATGTAACTTCACAGGGGCATAAAGGGGTCACCTTAGCTCTTTGTATGTGTTACTGAAATAGAACTCTGCACCTCAGTCAGAAAAATTTCCTAAATTTTTATCTTGCTGTGCACTTCACTTTCCTGTCCAGGCAGGCCGACCTTAAGGAGAGAAAGAGAGAGAAGATGCTTTGCAAATCAGACTTGTATAAACTACTGACCTCAGGAATAAGAGGAAGAGACTCAGGAGTCTGGAACCACATCCTCATTCTCTGAGCCACCAGCATGCAGGCACTATCACTAAGCTGGTGTCAGGACTGAGCCATACTAGAGGTTTGGTGCTGATGAGTTACCCCTACATAGGCCTTCACTAGTGAGCTTATGATGGTCTTTGTCAAGGCTGTCTAAAAAATATTTCAAAAAAACCAACTGTATCTACAACATAAAAAATAAGAGCAGTCAGAGAGGGTTTGATTCTTCCCCTTCTGAAACCAGTGAGTCTACATCGAGGCTCCCAGTTTACACATGTGGAGGTACCCTATACACCACAGTTTTAGGATGTGACCTCTTGCAAATAATAAAAATATTTGAAATATTTTTTTTCATTTTTAATAAAAGAAGATTCAAACATCAGCAAACTTCCAGGAATAAATCTGTGCATGTTCAAATTAGGAAACAACTTTGCTTTTGTACTTGGCAACAAACTATACTGTAAGTAAAATTTTACCCTTCTACAAGTTTTCAGATCTCTAACATCTTCACCTATTGCTCCCAAAACCATTTCCAGCTTACTAGGTATGTAACACATTAGAACAAAATAAATCTGCAAGTCCTGGCACCAGCACCAGCCTCCTTCAGACAATTAGCAAAACTAGATCTGACCACAGATCATAATGATGTTCCTCTCATCTTCAACAGTGGCTAAAATATTTGAATACAGTTTCCTTAGATGGCATTCTAAAGTTCTTTTTCCCAGCACAGAGAATTTTTTTCGTTCTATCACTGAAAAATAGTTTATGCCTTTCACAGTATTCCATATATTATTATATTTACATTTCTTTTCACCAGAAACCTTGATTTATAACACTGTGTTTTGAAAATCAACATCTTACTTCCTGCCAGAGCCAGTAGATATACCAGCCAGTAATAGCTGGTTTCTAATTTTTTCTCTTTGTGCTAGAAGGAAAAAAAAAAGTAAAAAAATTTGCTGACTTTAGATCTTAGCCTATCAGATGAAGACTTACTGGTGCATTAGAGGCCTATTCAAAATAGGGCTTTTCTTGCAACAGGAGCCCCTAACAATTGGTAATGAGGACAGATTCTGAATTGTTTGTGAGCAGCTGCTTAGTAGGTAAGAGCTTGTTTGGATTCAATTGAACAGTGTTTTTAGAAGCAGTTACTGACCCCTGACCCTTCCTACAGACTGGGTTGATGGGATTAGGGAAAACTAGCGTTCAGCTTACACTTGGCTATAACAAGCTGGCAAGAGATAACATACTTTTTAATTATCAAGTTACACCTCTGCCAAAGTTTGTCTATGAATTTACCAAATGGGTCAATGAACTATACGAAATCAAGCTAGGCTATGGGATAATAGTTACATAAGAAAACAGTTTCGGTGGA